TGGAGCTTAGGGACATGGTTTAGTGGACATGGTGGTGTTGGGTTGACGGTTGGACTCGATGATCTTAGAGGTCTTTTCCAACCTTAATGATTCTATGGTTCTAAACGGACAGCCACCATCAGAGGAACTGCTTACAGTACAAATATTCTCGTATTATTGGATCCTGAAGTTAGTGTGATAGCAGGAAGGTCCGTGCCCTTCATGGGACAGCCCTCAAGGGATATTTCAAAAGACGGCATGTCACAAGAACCTCCTGACTCCTTTTTATTTTAGCTGACCTTGTATCTCAGAAAAAGTCACATTAATATTGCATTTGTACCAGTACCAGAGTGGATTTTAAAAAAATGGACATACTGGCACATTGCACCTATTTTTAAGATCCTAGGCACTAGAAGCATTTAGGTGCCTTGCTCTTCAGCTGGAGTTGAGCGCCCAGGTAAGTTTGGGCACTTGGACTCTTGAGCACCATTTGCCCAGGTGGGACTACAGCTCAAAGGACTGAGGTGGTTAAAAATCAAAATGGTCTCATTTTAATTTTAGTTCCAGCCTTGTTTTTCTGAATGACCAGGACGAGGCCCTTGGGTCTGGGATTGGGGAAGCAGTTACTAAGCTTGGGTCCCTCCATGTTCATTGCTCAAGTCGCCACAGGACTTAACGTAACTTCTGAAAGCAAAAGGACTCAGCTGCTTTGTGCCAGCAAAGCACATCTGAAGTCAAGGATGGTAGATAACACCCTCTCACTAGTACTAGGCTAAGGAAGTGGAACAAGTTTCTCGTCTTAAAAAAAAAAACCACAGAACAACCTACCTTTAACAGTTAAAGTGGCTGTCGTTTGTTCGCTTCCATTATCACAGGTGTATTTGCCAGAGTCTTCTGGTTTAACATGATAAATCTTTAAGGTGTGGCTTGTTCCCTCCTGCCTGATTTCATACTTGGAGCTCGGGGAAATCACCTGGGCGCCCTTCTTCCACTCCACCGCAACATGAGGCTGGGAGACCTCGCAGCGGAGGATGGCTGTTTCTTCTTCCTGCAGTTCTGTGCTCTGTAATTTCTCCTTAAAGACTGGAGGTGGCACTGAAATTACAAACACGGCAAAGGCATTTACAGTCACTTTTATCTTGTTTCCTTGCAGTGTTAAAGGTACAGCTGAACAGTTAAGTATTGGGGGTTTAAAACAAGTGAATGGATTTTGGATGAAACGCGCTCACAAATATTTGTTGAAGTTACTGAAGTGCTAATCAAACACTTTACAGATGTTTTAACTGGTTCAGATGGGATGGGGACTTTGATCAGACCAACAGTTTTAAAGAGGGGAGGAGAAGGATGTTTGAAAATTTCTTCAAAACACTGTTTAAAGAAAGACAGACTCCAAAGAAAAAAAAAGAAAAAAAGAGAGTGGAAGCAATGAAAATTACAGGTCTGTCAATCCACCTACTGGAGCTACCCCAGTAATTTCTCCAGAAACCAGTTAGCTTCAGGACCCAATATTATTCTTTCAGTATAAAGAATATTGGTGATATTATTTATCACCAATAAAATGGTGATATTTCCACTTTCTGCCCATAGTGATGACAGCATATGAGACCACATCGGTACATCATGTATGCTCTGAAGCACAAGCACCCTACTAACATGAGCTAACAAGGGGTGAATGATGGCCTTGAATTTACTATTAGCATAAGCAAAATGTTACCTGTTCTCACCAATCCTGTTCCTTTCCCGCATCACAGAGCACTTACCTTTTACTGTGAGCTCTGCCGTCGACATGTGGGGTCCCACTCGGAAAGTGATGGTGCCAATGTCCTGCTCGGTCACCTTCCTTAATGTCAGGGTGTGAATCTTTCCTTTTTCCACTGAGATCTCATTCATTTCATTATTTTGCAGAGCAACATCCTGTAGCTTCCATTCAACGTCCCTTGCATTCTCATGAGAAACCTGGCACCGAAACGTGACATCGTCCCCCTCAAACACCTCCATGTCCTTTAGGCCACTCACGATGGTCACGTCAGGCTCTGCAAACAGTCCATCAGTAGACAAGCCGTGAAAGGGAAAACATGGATCAAATCATAGAATCATCAAATAATATAGGTTGGAGGGGGCTTCTGGAGTTCATCTGGTCCAACGACTGCTCAAAGCAGGGCCCGCTCACAGCAGGTTGCTCAACATCTTGTTCAACTGAGCTTTAAGTACCTCCAAGGATGGAGATATCACAGCATCTCAAATCACACGTTTCAAACTCTACCGGTTCATTACTTTCAGCGTACTTGGTAACATGTCCAATATCTTTCAGTTAGTGGTTTTATTGCTTGCCCTTTCTCAAAGATATATTGCATATTCATTTTTTAAATTACATGTTTGATACCGTAATTGGGTGAATAAGGTGTGAATGCCAGATGCTAAAATCAGGATTTTAAAGTTTGTTACGTTTACACTTAGAAACCATGAATAACATGAAAACCTGATCCCCTCTACTGTCTTTTTGCAAACAGAATTGCATATACTCCGTGCTGGCACTCCAAACTGGCTGGGGATCTGGTTGGCTCTGTGCTCTCAGCAGGACTTACTGGATTAGTGCGAGAACAGGGCATTTACGCTTCAGTTTGCTTGAGTCCTGCTTCTAGGACAGCTGGGCACCTGCAGATCTCTGCAGAGATCATACAGACAGCCTGCAACAGGCAAAAGCTGTACGAACCCTGAATCTGCTGGGGAATGCCAAAGGAGGAGCAGTGCAATCTTCATCTGAGCAAACACGGTTCATATTCATACAACTGAGGTCACCATCTGCACGAAAAATGATGCAGCTGGGCATAACGTACAGAGTATCTATAATATCGAGTAGCCTGTAGAGATGCTAGCGGTGATTGTTCCACACTAGTGGTCCAACCTGAAAGCAAGCTCTGTCTGTAATGACATTAAGGCCAGATGCAGCTGCCATGTGACTGGAAGCTGGGGATGAACCATCTGTTCGCTCACATGCATATGATGTCAAGCAAATATTTCAAGCCATGAGTCAAAAATTACAGCTGCCTTATCCTCTACTGTCCACCAAGCGAATCTTTGCTTCAGTGTATTTATTGAGCACAAGATCTTTTTATGATACCCTTCCTATGCTCTGTGTTTATCACAGTAGTTGTTACTATTGTGATAAACAATTGAGACAAGTTATGTTGCAAAATCTTAGCTTCCTAAAGTGAAAATCCCCTTGCCCCAATAAACAAGTCTTGCCTTTCACGGTCAGTTTTGCAGAGCTCGTCTCATCTCCAGCCTTGCAGGAATACTCTCCAGCATCGGTAGGCTCCAGGCAGTGAACACGCAGCTCGCGGAGGGTGCCGTCCTGCCACATTTCGTACTTGGAGCTTGAGTGAAGGACGACTCCATCTTTCCTCCACTCCACTTCTGCTTTGCTAATGGAAATCTCACAGCGCAGCCTGGCCGTTCCTCCCACTTCCACTTCTTCATTCTTCAGCTGCTGCTTCAGCCGGGGTTTGATGGCTGCAAAGTGAAAAACAATTAATGCACAATTCATCAGCTTGAATGCCAGGTCTGGACAAGTCAGCACAAGGCACGTGGGGTCTGATGCTGCAGAATAAATTTGCGTTAAGTGGTTATATGATAACAACCACCCTTTTTTTCCTCTATAGACAAACCTATATTCTGTATATCTGGACAAGGAGAGGATCAGAAAGTTCCCCAAATATGTTTGTTTCCCATAAAGTCAAGGGCATCCGCATTACACCTTTTACACATCTGCTCTGGATATTGGAAACTCCCACACGCATAAAGATTTTGGCTAAGCAAAACCTGGTACTTCCTGACTAAAACTAGCGTAAATCTGTTCATTTTTATAGAAATACTCATGACTTCCAACACTATAAAGGATGTAAAGCTTTAAACACATCTCTTATTTCTCTGCTATCTTTTCAAGACCCTAGACCATCAACAGTAAGTCCTTCCAGATGACGCACAAACAAATGGACTACATTTATTCACTTGGTAAGCGAATAAATAAGCGGGGCATGGAACAGCTCAGACAACAGCTTGTCGCTGGTGAAAACGAGAAGGGAATATCCACCCCGTGTGTGTGTGAGCAGCTGTGAAAATAGGAATCTCAGTGCTTGTATCACAATAGGGTTTAGACAGAGGGACCACATGTAAAGCAAGCACAGGGCTCTTTCACTCGTAGTTGACCCAGCAGCTGCTTCGCGGGTCAGGTTCAGCCAAGAGGATGTGGTTTGAAAGGTTGTGGCTTAGATGAAAGCCACAAGTTGCACCCAACAGTTCGAGATGACCATTAACATTTCAGACAGTGATTAATCACAGACATTATTCCTGGTTTGTTTAAACATAGTGTTCTCAAGATCTTCATGGAAGGGCATTACAAAAACTGAAAATAGTTGGGGGGTTTTTTGTAAATGACTTATGATTACTTATTGATTCAACTGAACCAGCAATGAATGCAGTGCCAAAAATAAAGATCTATTAGAATTTCAAAATCCCCATGATGCAGAGTTTCTTGCTTTTATCATATCAGAGAAGGGGTCAATACACTGTACACTGTGCTTCACAGGCTTAAATAGTCATTCTACAAATCCTGTCCCATAAAACCCACTTCTCTGTATTCTGGTTTATGACTGGGCCCCTGCTTTCCTCTTTATCTTAACCTTTGGGGTGCCTTATTCACCAATGAATAAAAGAATATCGTTCACACAATTTTATAAATCCCTTTTATCCTCTGTTCCATTTTGATGCAATGCTAACCATTCACTCTGAGGACTGCTGTGCTCTGCTGGTCTCCTGTATCACATGTGTAATCAGAGGCATCTTCTGGTTCTACATTATGAATCACAAGTTCAGCTGTGCGACCACTTAATTTAATTTCGTATTTGGCACACGGGAAGAGCTCCATGGTGCCTTTCCTCCACTCCACTGTTGCATTATCCTTTGTCAGTTCACACTGGAATTTCACTGCAGCTCCTTCTTCCACCTCCTTGTCCTTGAGCTCCTTTTTGAAAAGAACTGGCAGAGCTAAAGGGGGAAAAAAAAGAAGCAACAGGAGCTTTTATTGAAGCCTGAGTCAAGTCCTGGTTAACACAGTTAGACTGACACTTGGTGGAACAAGATACTGTGCTTTGCAAGTGCTATATTCCTAGGCAGGATCCGTGTTTTCTAATTTGCCTGGAGCTACTAGGAGACCTTGCTGCATCAGAAGCAGCCATCAGCACTTGTAACATTTATTTCCTTTGTTCCTTGACTCAAATATTTCCCAGGGTTGAGTTATTTGAATGAATTTATCCTTCAGTTGATCTAACAAAGATCTCAAGAGTAAAGAAGTTCAAAACTCCATGGACAGCCCTGACAGGTCAAGAAGGTCGTTGTCGGTCTTCTTCCAGGATTCAGAAGAAAAAAAATGGTTTTTTTAAATACTTAAACCACGTCATGTGAAATGTCCAGACGTTATGTTAAAGCATTGCTCTTTCTTAAATTTCTCTCCAGCCATAAAGCTAGAAAGCATTTCTTCTTAGAACCCGAAACTCACATGCAACACTGGAAGAACAAAGTGTCATCCTCTTCCATTCTCATTGAAAAAAAAAAAAAAAAAAGAAAAAGAAATCCTAGTATATCAGATGAAAAGGAAAAAATTTTAGGGGAAAAAAAATAATCACGTACTTAAAAATATCCATATTCAAACTGTTGCTTTGCACATTGGATGAAATCTATTGCTTTAAGAGTCAGCTCACACCACCTACCTTTCACATTTAAAGATGCCTTGGTTTCCTGACCCCCAGTATCACAGCTGTATTGTCCTGTATCTTCTAATCTGAGATTATGTATTAAGAGCTCTACCCGGCATTCCCTCTGCCTCATTTCATACTTCTCGCTGGGCTGCAGCCCCACTCCTCCTTTCTTCCATTCCACTGCAGCATTGGGTTTCGAAAGCTCACAGCACAATGTAGCTGTACTTCCTTCCTCTAATTCCTTATTTTGAAGGGGTTGCTTAAATGTGACAGGCAGTGCTGCAAAATTTGAGAGGGAAATGTTTTAAGAGTGTTTTAGTCTGGAAAGGACCCAATCCTACCATCATTCTTCAGAAATGGCCTATTCTAATGGTTCCACAATCTTGCCTCAGCTCTCTGTCTTGGTAGCAACTTTCTTGAACCATTATGTGAACCAAGAGCTGAGGACAGATGGTGAAGTTAGGAAAAACCTGGTCTTAGAGAGTGGTCCACAGAATGGCCTGGTTTGTGATCTGAAGGAGTCAGACTTTCCTACGGAAACGTCTCCATGCCAACTAGGGATGCTTTAGTCAAAGACCACTGGGACATGCTCTCTCTTACATGGACCCTTGCTCCTTAATAAAGGTCTGCGAGTTTGCAATATTAAGCGAAGAGTATTTTCCCCCCAAATAAAGCTTCTATCAACATACAAAAGAGCAAGTTAGCATTCAACACACAAGAAGAGGCAGTAGAGTAAGAGGTGACAATAAAATGATAAATGGAAGAGGAAATTCAGATTTCAGGCAAGGTCTTCCTCTGGATGGTAGAAGGGGTGGAAGAAAACAGATGTGGATGCAGTTGCTTGCACTCAAAGTTTATACTGGAGGCTCAAAGCCTCAAGTAATAATACAGCACATTCACATGTTATAGAAACCCTTTATCCCTCAATTGTTGCATCTCTTATCATCCCAGTTGGACATTATGCCCATTTAGGCATCCCTTATGCCTGCTGAGGCAATCAACAACCCAAAATAACCATCAGCCTGCCTGGCTTATTTTCTGTTATCCATTCCCATATGCAGCCACACTCCCTGCACTCAAGGGCAGGAGGGTTCGTCGTATTTTGACATCATGACAACATTTAATTGCTTTGATGCTGATTAATCATTCCAGATACTGCAAGCAGAACCTCTCTGACTTGACCATGTGTCATGCTCAAGTAGAATATGTGAATATGTACGCTGGCACAAACCAGCAGCAAAACAAATAAATATCCATAGGGAACACAGAGATTCTCCTTTCACTTCATCTCTATTGAACCAAGGGTCAATACTCTGCCTACCATGTACGGTTACCACCGCCATTGTCTGCTGATGTCCAGAGTCGCAGGTGTACTCTCCTGAATCATCCAGCTCTAAGTCATAAATGACCAATTCAGCAGTGGTGCCCTGCTGCTTCATCTCATATTTCAAACCAGGGTAGAGAGTAGTGTCTCCTTTCCTCCACTCTACAGGAGCATTGAGTTTGGTAAGCTCACACCTCAGTGTTGCTGTACCACCTTCTTCTGCCTCGGTGTTCTGAAGCTCTTGTTTAAAAAGTGCTGGTAGGGCTATAAAATAGAAATATAACTTGCAACATACTGCAGTTGGGGTTTGGGAAAGAGAAAGTAGAAGGAAAATGAAAGCACCAAAAGAGCTTTTTTGCAGATGTCTCTAAACCTCAGTGCTCTACATTCAAAGTACTATTTCCCCAGAGAGGTAATAGGAATATCTGCAGAACAAGAAGAAACCAAGTTCAAGAAGTTGCATTTGCCGTGAAGTATATACAAGCTTAATCTAATTTATGATCTAAAAATGGCGGAATATTTTTCCTGCTATAAAGTAGCCAACATGTTGCCCTGATCACAGAGGAGATATTCTGAAGATCAGCAGGGAGTTGTAAGAGTTCAGATTCCCTCTTAAGGCAGGCCACTTGCAGGAGAGATTACAATTATCCTGACAGTAACATACTGACAAAATGCATTTAGTTCTGCATTGCAATTCCCATTTTCTACCTGGTCACTCTATTAGATTGTACAGACCATGCTATTGTGCACACCTTCCTTACGAATCATAGCCAAGTCTTCTCCACAAGAGACACTAACACACAGCTTTTATTTTCAAAATATATTATGACCTTTTCCCTTTTTTTTTTCCTCTTTTTGATTTTTTTTTTTTTTTTTTTTTTACCGTTGACTGTCAAAGTGGCAGTTGTCTGCTGATCTCCACACTCGCAGGTGTAATCTCCAGTGTCATCCACATCCAGCCCATGGATAGTCAGCTTTGCAACAGTACCATCTTGACTCATTTTGTATTTGCTGCTTGCCTTGAGCACCTCCTGCCCCTTCTTCCACTCCACCACAGCAGGTTTAGTCAGCTCACAGTGCAGAGCAGCTGTCCCACTTTCTACAGCTTCTAGGTCCTTCAGGTCTTTTTTGAATTCCGGAGGCAGTGCTGAAGAATAAAAAATTACCGCAGAGAGAGTGAATATTCCTAAAAAAACAGCTAGATGAGGTCCTGGGGGAGAGGATGCATGGTGCACTACTGAGCCCTGATGCAGGTCAGTGGAACACAGCGGAAAAATCTCCCCTGACTTCCCTGGACTCTGCATCAGGGCAAGGAAAGTGAGAAGGACCAGCCCAGCTGAGGAGGACAAACACCAACAGGCAGCTCTTTTCCCAATTCTAACAGAAGGAGGAAGAACATGAGCAAACTCCAAAGGAACACAAAAGCCCAAGCAAACAGAAAGGGAATGGGAACAGACCACAGCAACAGAGACCTGGGCAGGTCTAAGGTTTGGAGGACCTTAGTCCCAAGGATTACTTTACCATGCACTGTTAAGGCAGCTGTGGTGGTCTTGTCTCCACACACACAGGTATAATCTCCAGTATCATTCAAGCCTAAATCGTGGACTACCAGCTCCAGAACACAGCCTTCCTGTCTCATGCTGTACTTGTTGTCCGAGGTGAGGACATGATGGCCCTTCTTCCACTGAACATGGGCAGATGCCTTGCTGAGCTCACAGTGCAAAGTTGCTGTTCCACCTTCTACTGCTTCCTTGCTGGTCATTTCTTCTTGGAAAAACGGAGGCACAGCTGAAGGATGCAGGTAAAAAGTATTACAAACTGAGGATATCTCCAGGGATGGGTGAGAGTAGGAAGTGACAGGGGAAAGTTGTGAAGGTTATGGAAGTGCGAGCATCAGCAACAAAGAGAGGAAAGAGAAACGAAAACATCCTAGTGGGAATATACACCCTGAACCTTCGGTTTTATGCTGGCTTCCTACTAGCAAAATTGCACCGTCCTCAAGAGATTTACACCTGCTTTCTACCAGTTTCCATGTAAGAAGAACTAAGAATATAATCTCTGAACCCCTTAATTCACACGTGTTGATGTCTTCCACAGACTTCATGCCTTTGTACTCTCTTTTCCTACTTATTGCTGAGCTCTGAGTGTTGGCACAGCTCCTTACTCATCATCATTCCTTCTTCCTTGAGGTGCCCTTGAAAAGGTGCAGCCAGGGCTCACAGATTCCTCCTGACAATCTCCAGATGCTGAATCCCAGCTTGTTTTCGTGTCTCAGAACATATTCCCCGACTTTTATTTCCTTGAAATAAATTTGGTGACCTTAACATATGTCCCTCTGTTAACTAGGTGGGATAACGGGATATTCTGTCTCCTTAACAAGGTTAGATGGCTCAGATCTCAAACTTAATGACTCACTCCATAGTGGTGGAGCTAAGTTAAAATATCCAGGCTAGAAACCAGGTCTAGCCTCCTTGATTCTGCACACTTCCCACCCCCAGCAGTGTTAAGCTGAAACACCAGTTTGGGTTGCACAGCAACTGGTTCTTGCAACAAAGTAAGACCAGAAGGAGGTCACAGAAAGAATTTATTCTTTCCTGCTTAGAAAAAAATCAGACTCCCAATGCAAACCTATCTTTGTGCATTAGGACAGTGGTTATGGGCACAAAACCCAACATAAACATAACTCAGCACAGAAGAAATTATAATTAACACAGCCTTATTCTGTATACTGCTTATTATACCCTATACTACATTAAAATGGTAGGTATTGAGAATGCCGGAAAAGAATGGCAAAGAATAAACAGATTTGTGTTTTAGAAAAGAAATGCAGGAAGGGAAAGATGAAAGAATAGTGGTTTTATATGCTAGGAAAGGAATGCCAGAAGGGAAAGACTAAAGGATAGCAGGTTTGTGTTTAAGGAAAGGAAAAGACAAAAGGATGGCACAGGAAAATACAGACCGGTATTTTCCAATATACACAGCCTGCAGGTCATCAAAGGCAGGGAGTACCATTTCAAATGAATGGAACTTCAGTTAATAAGGTTGAACAAACAGACATGGAAAACTGAACACCTGATAGTGGAGGACAGACGTTTCCAGTGGGGAAATAGAAGGTCAAGATAATTTTTACCCTGTACTGTTAAGACGGCTGTGGTCTGGTGCTCTCCACACACACAGGTGTAGTCTCCTGCATCCTCCTCAGCTATTTCATGAATCACCAGCTCTGCCTTGGTCCCTTCCTGCCTCATTTTGTATTTCTCACTCGCTTTGAGAATCCTCTGTTCCTTCCTCCACTCCACCGGAGCAGCCTTGGTGAGCTCACAGTGCAGGGCGACTTCTCCACCTTCTTCTGCTTCCC